ATGCGATCTTATCATTTTTTTCAATTTGACACGTTTTACTCACGACTGTCCAAACTGCCGCAATTTTTGCAAGCTATTTTTTATCCGATTCCAACACTCAAAATCTCAATTTTTTTCATCGTTTCGGTAAACGAAGTCAATAAAGACGTACGAGTTCGTTTTTCAATGTCATACCTTTGCAAAAGTGCTCTCTGCACTTCTGTCCATTCACCTTTCATGTTTTTCTATGGCCAAAGAACTCCAGTGCGAAGATTTACCCCCCCCCCTCCCCTCCCCCGCATCCGTCTAATTTCTTTAGGGCCAACACATCAAGCTCATGCCTAATCAGAGCAGTTTCTTGGCTTCGACTAAAGAGCCGTTGTTCTTTGGCTCCGAGCCAAATGGCGTGCTTTGCTCGCATTTATCCGCGCTTTCCTCTCGGTCAGGGATTTTGCAAAAAAAAGTTTTTCTTAGAAATTTTCTAGCACACTGACAGAGTGTTAGATTTCCATTTTCTGCTTTTTATTAACTTCAAATCTCTGCATTATCTCGCATTTCACTTTGCATTTCCTTCTGTGCTTTGTGCTCTTCTCCTTTTTCAACGATGTCCTTTTATCGAAGCCTAAGGAAATGTTAGAAGCTGCAGATTAGCTTGGGACGAGTTCTCCGACCTTTCGTCTCTTTTGCAATTCATCTGGAAGCATTTAGTGTTATGCAGCATGCGTTCAGTCGTGCAATTCTAATCAGCCATGTCGAGAGAATCTTCTCGAAGCCCTATATTAGAGAACTAATATGGGGCGTAGCATGTTTATGAGCTTAATGAGCTTATTTACCGGAATGTTTACGTTGTCGAATCATTCACCATTTCCGTAATTATCTGTGGTATACACAAATATGTCTCGCTCTGCAAGGTGTTTATATTTACATTTGTTCACATCTTTTTTGTTAAAATACATTGTCCTGAAAAAACCAGCATTGAGTATTAATTGTAACTCAGACTCCTTAAAAAAGGGAACGCTTTTTTGTGTAGATTCTAAGTATGCTCTCGTCCGACAACCTAGTTACCAAGCTAATAACATTACATATACAGATACACTCACATAACTCCTTCCTATGTGTCCCGATATTGGGTAGAGAGAAAAAAATCTGGGCTTAGTCTCTACTTTCTTCTGATGATATCCCATCTTTTTTTAACTCTCATATCCTGTCAAGGCATTATCTACTCTAGTTACTATATTCTCCCCTTGGGCACTTGTGCAGGTATTATTGATAGATCTGTTTTCGAATTCAGTCAACGAAATCTTTAAGAACTATCAGGTGGCATTCTTGGAGGTGTCTTTTTTTTAACCATTATGCTTCTACCTTGTTTTACAAAAAAGGACAGCATAAGTAATCAATTAGAGAGCATGATGAAATGCCGGTCAGGAAGGTCTTTCGCCCAACATTGTCTTTATCTTGGCTTTCAGGACTTTCTCTGAAAACAAATCTCTCTACTGCTTAATGCATAAATCTAAAAGCTGAACTTCTTGGGTTTTTAACGAATGAAACTGAAGTACTTACACAATTTTTCCTTGTGTATTAAAAACGACAACAATGTCTGCTGCTAATCACATTATAATAATAATAAAAAACAACGCTGAGAAGATTTGATTTTTCTTCGTCTCGTAAGCATTTCTAAGCTCTGGCCGCTTCTGAGCGAAAATTAAGTTTAGCCAGATAGTTTCTTGATCTCGTGACTGCATTTAGCTTTTTTCTTAGGTAATGTCAAAATTTCTGTAGTCTTTATTCATTATCAATTTGCAGATGTCATTGGCTCATGCAGAGCTGCAGAAAAATGCTTATCAGTCTGCAACATTGACATATTGTCACAAACTTTTAGGATTTTTCTTTGAACAAGTTTCCTTCGCTTATCACCTACGCGATATCACTACGTTTTGCAAAAAGATCATTCAGACACGATTCCATGAAAAGTGCTCTTCGATTGCCAGATGTAATTCGTATAAGTAATCCTACTATACGCTTGCTCTGAAGTGGTAAATCTTTAATGAACTGAAATTATTTACTCCACTCCTTATACCTCCTTCAACCAATGCTTGCGTCAAGAGCCTTGATGCTTCACGACTTTTTCCGGAATAATTACAGCATGTATGATAATTGCAGAAGATTCAATTTCCATAGATAATGCCCAATTTTCAAAATGACAGCTTCGTATGAAAATCAAGGCTCTTGACGCAATCTGTTTCGGACAAAAGTTCCTTCCTGCAGATTTTGTAGGAAGAATTTTTGAAGTTAAATGGCATGAATTCCATGAATCATTCATAGTGAAGTGGAGATGTTAAACAGTTGAAGTTTGAAAGCTATACTTATCTGTGACTCTCTTCTTCTCAAAATAACTTTTGTCAATAATCTCCGATGTAAGTCTTTCAAGCGGCTTACAACAGTCTCATCTTTGCTGCTGATATCATATTACGCATAAATGCCGTAGCTGACTAAAAATCTTTCCGGAACATTACACTAGTGCTATGGCATTTTCGCTCAGGTTTTTGCGATGGATGAGAAAGTGAAATCATGCTCTTACGCATTCCATGCATTTATCGCATCTTACATGTCTTGAAACTATTTCGAGATTTTGACATTTTTAAAGGCTTAAATTCTCTGCATTCCTCTGCTTTAAGTGAAAATGTTGCATATTGCGAAAGACCCCGGTTCTCCTAAAATAATCTCTCATAAATAATCTTCGATGTCACATCGTATCTTCTTCATAGAATTCTTTGCTTTCTTCCAACCAGCAAAAGAAGTTTCTAGACTGCTAGCAAAAAATTCGTCAGCGAAACCAAGCTCTGATAGAAATCGAAATGACAAGCAGCGTGAAATTTCGGCGGTTTCAAACAATCTCAAGATCGACGTTAAAAAAAACGGTGGATCCACTCAAATCAATCTTTTGTTATTTTTTGTAAAATCAATAAATTTGCCATGAGTGAGGGTCGTTGTCACACTTCACAGTCTCACAATTTTTTTCCCTGACGGGTTCAGCTTATCATTCATTCTCCCTTCTCAAAATTCTTCAAAGATGAATGATCAATGAATGGACTTTCTTGACATGTTTTGTACATATTTGGCTAACGCTAAGTGCGCTAATAGTCTGAGTATTTGGAACAAATAATCGTAAATGTGATTTTTTCATCACCTTAGCTCTTAGAGTGTCTGTGTCCTTAGAAGCAGAGCGTGATTCATTTGGTATCAAATAATTTACTTTAGCTATAGGTTTCACAAAAAGATTAGGGTATAAAAATTGGCGCTTGATTTATTAGGTGTTCTCCCGAAAGTTCTGCATTTCATTTCTGGAAATTTGTAACTTCTTGCTCTTAACGGATTAGCTTCTTTATAATTTCATCAATGGATTTTTCCTTGTAAATCTATTTCGTTGAGTTTCCACTATACACTCAATCCAGAGGCAAAAAAGTAAGAAGAAGACCACTAAGGCGTTGGGCATACTTCATGCGATTTCAGACGCGACACGATTTGGCAGCACTCCAATTATTCGTACCCTTTGATTCTATTAAATTGGCGGATGCAAGGCGGGGCTTCGTGACCTAATTGCTAGGTAGTGACCAGAGAGCACGCCCGCGGGAGAGACGCAGACTGCGTAGCGGGCGCGAGCGGCCTTAATTAGTTCATAAAGCTCCGCCCTCCAGCCGCCAAGCCAGATGAATCAAAGGTTACTGGTCGTAAGCGCATTCTATACGTACAGAAAAAGGAGCATCTCATCAACACATGCAAGCTAGACACACTATGCATTTGTAGCTTGCAAATTTTGGGTTTGAAGACATCTGGCAGATTGCCAGATCGCGTAGTGAATGAGATCGCTTGAAGTAGGCCAGCTTTTAAGGCCCTGATCATTTTAATTGAGACTGACAAAAACCAAAGCGTTGCGGAAAAGTCTGGAATCGCCAATATATAAGTTTTGTGACTTACTCTTTGCATAGAAAATTTGTACTGCCTTGAACGTTTTTATGAGCACTTATGGATTTCCAGTTTGCAATAGAAAGCGCCGAAATTGATTAGTTTATCACTTCAAAATAATCTTTAATGGAGACATCCGAACAGCACAATCTTTTTAGTTGCAAAGAGGTGTTCACAAAACTCATGTACCAATGATTTCAGATTCTTCTGCACCTTTCAGATTCTTGGCGGCCTAACTCAGAATGATCAAAGTCTTAGTTATGTTATTTTTTAATTTCTATCTCAATGAGTGTATATCTCTCCGAAACAGGCCGGAACTTCTGCAGAACGTTTGGGAAATTTTAGGAAGTTCCGTAACGTAAACGTGTTCCGTATGTTTTGTTTTTGTTTTGTTTTCCCAAATGAGGTGTGCTGCGGAAGTTCCGAAGAATAAAACCTGCGGAAGTACTGGCATGTCAAGGTGTTACGGGACCGCTGGCAATTTTCGGAAGTTCCGCAACAAGTCCTGCGAAAGTTTCTGTTTCAACCAGTCTGACTTGAAGATCCTACATAAGTTCCCATTTTCGACGTTTCTGCTTTTGCGATAGTAATCAGAATCCTGCGAACCCGCAGTTTGCTTGTTCTGCAGAAATTCAGGTGTGTTGTCTGAGCAAAAGCTCATCAAGAAATGATTACACAGAGGAAAACTTCTTCTTTCTAAGAAAAATCATAAAAAGTGAATTTGTCACAATAATATAAAAAAAATATACGACAACACTTTCGAGACAACCTAAAATATTCTTTTGATTTCTCTGCCATCCATTCCACGTGCAGAGAGTAATAGAACGTTGTAAATTGAAGGAGTCAGAATCAGCGCTGTGTATTTAGCTGTGCTAGTATGCTCTGAAAACCAGAAAATCAGCGCAAGGACGGTAAAATTTGCAGAGAATTGAAGTTTTTGGTCCATTTTTTCCTTATAACACTACATTCCTGTTTGTTTGATGTCATCGCTGTCCATGAATTATACCTCTATATTGCAACCGTAGCTTACGCTTTATTCTAAGTTCTATTTATTTCAGTTAGAATCGTGCTCCATGGACGACCAGGTACTAAACGAGTTGAGCAAGGAGATTGTAGATGCAATATTGCCAGCAGCTCAGGAAAACTTAGTAAGTTGGTCGATCTTTCAGAATTCTTGCAGAAAATGATGAGCTCATAAATTTACAATTTTTGTTTATTTTCTTGCTTGTTGAGTTTCTACAATTTTCATGTAAGTTAGCAGGTCTTCGACAGCGAATTTTTATTGAATTTCGGACTTGGGGGGGGGTGGGGAGGAGAAGGGTGCCGCCACTATTTTTAGATTATGATTCTTAGATGGAAAGATGTTGACCAGGGGGGGGGGAAGAGAAGGAGGCGAGAATGTCATAGCCAATCGCTATTCAGGTGGGCGGAGTTTCCATAGAGGCACTATTGGCCAAGGGCGGTGGGGAAGGGTTTCGACATCTCCGTCCATTAACAATTCTCACGTTCAAGTTAAGATAATGTTTACATCTTGTAAGCTGCGAAAGAGTTTTACCCCATCCCCCTCCCCCTCCAACCTAAATGGGAATGAGGGTGCGTGACGAAGCATATCAAAAATCTTTTTGAAGTGCGTGGCTGACGTGACGTCAGCCACGCACTTCGAATAGATTTTTGGTATGCTTCCTGAAATTTTTGTGGGTCCATAACTCCAAAATTTTTGAAAAATTTTCAGAAATATATTGATTATTTATGAAGTATAAGCAAGTTGCTTGTACATTTTTATAACTCATATAGGCAACTTTCAAAAATTTCCTCCCTCCCCCCCCCCCCCACTCCTCGGTACGCCACTGCTATATGGGAAATGTCTGAGAGATCTAGACTGTGCCGTCGCTTACACTAACTCATATGGTACCCATCTGGCCGAAAAATTCAAGTCTAAACTCTCTCCCAGTACCGTATTGAAGGTGGCAGATCCGCGCCGAATTACGGTACTGGGCGAGAATATGACGTTAGGTTTTTTTGGGTACAAGTGAACTTCATGAACTGCTGCTTTGATAATGGCATACCTGTGGTCGCCTAATTGTTTCTATTGAGAATTCCAGGTATTCAGATTTGCCTGGACAGTGACAGTAGGGTCTAATAGCCCCCCTATGAGAGATATTATCTAGAATATATCTAACCTTTGATTCGACAGGGTGGCGTCTGGAAGGCGGGCTTTTGACCTAATTAAGGCCGCTTACGCCCGCGACGCAGTCTGCGTCTCTCTCTCGCGCGTGCTCTCTTATCATTATCTAGCCTTAATTAGGTCACGAAGCCCCGTCTTCCAGCCGCCAAGCCAGTTAAATCAAAGGGTATATCCCTTACCCACTTTATCACCATGTTTAGCGTGGCTTTCCCAATCCCCGCAATTCTTCCCACACCTGACCCGTTCTTCATTTCACATTCCCAGCATAATTCCCTGTCCTCCCCACCCCTCCCCGGTAAGCGAGACAATTATTTACAACAGAGGCAATTTTCGCGCACACAAGTGGCCAGCGTCACAGACGTTGGTGTGCCAGTAGAAAAAAGACAACGAAGGGCTCTCTTTCGTTCTTCGCACCACTGCACACGCTTTCGTTGATTGATCTGTTTAGATTCAAGATTTATGGGACGAATAAAGTGAAAGAAGTAACAGGAAATGTCCGAACCGTTCATTTTTAGTCATCACGCGTCAGTGGCCTTTTGTGCGTTTGGTAGACTGTACATTTGCACAGTTTTTGTCACGGCTGTTTCATTGCGACGTGATTTTTGTGCGCTAAATGTCGTGAATGGATTGATCTCGATGAGCGATTACGAAAATGATAAATATTTCACCTACGCCTAAAGAGTTATATTTCTAAGCAAAGCCTGCTTATAGTCGTTGTTATTTGACGACTCTTTTTGTGTAATTGCACTACTTTTGAATTTGCACTGGCAGGACAAGTCGTCAGAGTACAAGGTCGTTTTTTTTCAACAATAGGTTTTTTTTTACCTTTTCGCCGTTTTCTGTCTTTTCTTCGATCATGATGGCTGTTCTGCCGCTGCCGGTTCACTACATTGCAGTTCTCAAAAGTGGTGCAATTGCACAAGCGGTCAGTCAGTCGCGAATGTCCCAAAGTGCGCATTTTTGAGCAATTGGTTACTTTTCTTGAATAAAACTTTTGCTTGAATCATCACTTATCGTAAAACTGCACCTTTACAGTAGCGGTCGCAAGATTTTTGCAGGGGAGTTGGCCAAAAATTTTTTTCTACTACTTTCTAAGCTAGCCAACCGAAAATGTTTTTGAGATGCGTTCTAAAAATTTCGAGGGCTCAAACCCCGAAATATTGAAGAAGGGGCGTACCAACAGTCACGCTTGCGCAAAATCTTTTACAATGCTTATTTGTGTTTTTAAGAACTAGTGAACCTGTAATCTAAAGGTGCTATTTGGAAGAGCGTTCGCTTCGGGACCTCCGCGATTTCCCGTTGGAAGATTTTTGAATTGAGCTAACGATTCTTAATATATTAGATAGATTTTAAGAATAATTTTGATCATTGACAAGTATAAACAAGTCATTTGCACATCTTTGTGACCCATGTTAGTGACTTTCAAAATCCCCCCCCCCCCACCCGTTTCTTCCCTCTCTCCACTGCACTGCTCTTTCATCGCCGAGCTTATTCAATGTAAAAGGGAAAACCTTAGTTTTTGTAAAAATTGAATCCGCATTTTTACGGTCGTCGCGAAATGAATCAGCATCGGGACAAACTAAGGGAAATGCAGAAAAGTTATTTGACACAACAGGCTTGGCGTCTGGAAGGCGGGACTTTGTGACCCAATTAAAGCCGCTCGCGCCCGCGACGCATTCTGCGTCTCTCTCGCAGAGTGCTCCCTGATCATTACCTAGCCTAAATTAGGTCACGAAGCCCCGTCCACCAGCCGCCAGGCCAGTTGAATCAAAGGGTACATACAATTTTCTTCAACTCTGCGATTTGCTGCCTTATCATTTTAATCTCCACTTTCCCTCTTGCAAGAAAAAGCATTGAACATGGCGATTAGATTCTTGTCGAGTTTTCTAGAAGAAACCTCCTAAACATCCAGTGTTCGTCTCTTCTTCCAAACTCTTTCCCTCCCAAACCCGATCCTAATCATTCTCGCACCTTTGTTGTGTAATACGAAAATAATCTATGTTTCTTAACGGCACTGCCCGCTCAGTTTTTGCAAGTCTCGCAGAATGAGCGATGATTTGAGCGTGCAGGATCCGATATGTCAACACGTCGAAGAGCCCGGGTGATTTTTTCTTTTTCTCAAACCTGACGCATTATTTGTTGCAAAGTACGATAGTGTGTACACTGATATTGACCATTGCGAAACATTTCCACCAATATTTGCTTAGCGCAACTCATCCCATTGTGTATACCTCTTGTCGTGAAGCATATCCGTTGAAAAACAAATGCACTTTTGACATCATGTCTGGCCCTAAGCACCATAGTCTGGTACTTTGATGGTCACTCTAGTGGCCCCGCACTGTCCACAACATTTTTTGCGCGCAAAAAACGGCCATGGAGAGCAAAATTTGAAGAAGTCTGCGCTCTATGGCTATATCTTCAAGCACAAGTGTTGCACCGCAGACAGACTACAATACTGCTCACAGGATGTGCAAAATCCCCGTAAATGTTGCGAACCTCCGCGGAACTCCCCGGAAGTTCGCCACATTACGGAAATTTTGCACATTCTGTAACCGTTATTGTAGAATCGCCTTCAGACTTACAACATTGTTCAGATTCTCGGTCTTGCACAGCATTTATACCGAATTTCGAGGCCTTCACAGCTTTCTTCCTTTCCCGCCTCATATGAAGCAGACTATCTAGAAGTTGGCAAACATTTTTTGGACCTGCCCCCAGGACCCGGCACGATGGGCAAACGGGGTTTTCCAAAACGAATTCCCCTTTGATCCCGATAAATTTTACGAATACCCCCTTGAACCCAAAAATGACGTTTTGTGCTTGTGCGACGAGATTACCGGCCACACTTCGCCTAAAAGCGCTCAAAAGCGCCCAAATTGCTCAAATTCCTCAAATTACTCCTCAGCTGTATCAAGATAGAAAACAGGAAGAAAAATAAGCAAGAAAAATGATTAAGGAATGAGAAAATATCAAAGAAACGCAGTCATAGGAATGAGAGACGCCGTTCCCGCGCGTATCGATTGACTGGGGCGCGCTTTCTATCTTAAAAAGCTAGGCTGCTGATGTGATTTTGGGCTCTAACAAGGACAAGAGGTGTTTCGGAACCAAAATTTCACCATGTAGTAAACTTTAGGTGTACAACAGATTTATGTAAAAATTTTGAAAAAATTATGTGAATTGAGAGTTTTGCCGACCTCAGGTGGGAATTAGGTCGGCAAATGCCGACCTAATTTGGAAATTAGTTAAGCACGCTCTTCATTCACATAAGTTTTTCATAATATTTCATACTTTATTACTTAGTCCTATTGCGCATATACACACCGAAACCCGCGCGATTTCGTTACCTCTGCGTTGCAAACGAGCCATTTTTCCATTTCTTTGGTAGCGCAAAATTTTCAGAAAAAAGTTTGCCACAACCTTCAGTCACATAATTTTTCAATGAAACTCCTCAGTTAAGCCCTGCAAGCCCGTGTGCATGTACTTACCAAGTTTCATACCATATCGTTCATCTGCGCGTTCCAAACGAGCCGTTTGAATTCACATCTTCATTTACCAGTTTTGCGAAATTCTCGGAAAAAATGCTAATTACTCGTTCCGTTCACATAAGTTTTTATAATTTTTCACAATATGTTTCCACTAGCCTCTCTCCGTTCGCATACAAAATTTGGTGCCATATCGTTACACATACATTAGGAACTAGTCATGTATGCATTTACAAATAGCATCGCTTGGGCGACGTCGCGCGTGCGGCAATTAGCGACAGCGCGATTGACGCCCGCGCATTCCAGTGTTCGCCTGTTGAGGCACATAACATGTCAAGATAAGTAACTACCAATGAACTACCAATTTTTTTCCGGGGCTCCGCCCCGGATCCCGCAAAAACGATTTCCCCTTTGCTTTTTGGCCCCAAAACGATTTCCAGCTTGTCATTTGCCGACCTCGTGCCGGGCTCTGCCTGCCCCCCCCCCGTTCTGTAATTTCCTTAAAGAGCTACCTTACTAGACGCTGCACACAGTGCATGCACATACATACATCCCAACCAGTGCGCTTACCCAGGATTTCCGTTCGGGGGGGGGGGGTTGGGTCGACAAAAATTTTTCCAAATGAAGGTGCGTGAGCCACGCACCCCAAATAATTTGCTGAATTGAATTTGTAAGAAATTCTGAAAATTATTTTGATTATTCGCAAATTCAAACAAGTCATTTGTATATTTTTTAACCCATGTAAGTAACTTTCAGAATTCGCGACCCATTCTCGGGGGAGGGAATTTATGTCGGAGAAACGAAATTATCGGCACCACGAAAGTCCATCCTTGGTCATTGCATCGTTTTTCCCTTAAAGTAGATATATCCTGGACGAAAACGGAAGCTGTGAGCTGTTCAGAAAAGAATACCTTCTTATGTATTGCGCTACTGCATATGAGGAGGTAGATCCACAGCTTGCATTGATTTTCGGCAATCGTTAGCTTATCGCCTACGCTCAGACAATTCATCGGAACTTTCGCAGGACAAGCGAAATTTGCAGCGGTTCCGCAGGATTTTGACTATTGCAAAAGTGGAAACGTTGAAAATGGGAGCTTCCGCAGAACTTCTTATAAAGCGCTGAGGAATTTTCGGAAAATGCCAGCGCTTTCGCAGCACTTTGACATGCCAGTATTCCGCAGGTTTTTGAATCTGCTGTATCGTACGATGTTCGATAATGCACCCTCGCCAATAACTGGGGTGCATTATCGAACATGTTCACCAGTAGGCAGAGGATAGTGGGTGAATCCCGCAGTCAAAAGAGTAGCGTTCAAATCTTGCCTAGGTGTTCCGTTTTGCTGTCGTGGTTCGCAATCTTCGAAACTTCCGCAGAACGTTTACAGAACTTCCGCACGTGACCTGGCGGAACTTTTCCAAACGTCCTCCGGAAGTTGCGGTCAATTGTTTGAGCGTATGTCCCATATTGATACAGTATCTAGTGCACCAATGCATTCATGACCAATGCTTTCGTTCACTGCAGTACTATAAAGTCAACTCAAAAAGAAATAGTTTCAAATATCTAGAAACTACGAAACTCTAAACTACTGACCTAAAACTCGTCTCACAAATCTTTCTGTGTAACAAAGTTCATGGGGTGTAAGCTACGAAAGGTATGGCTGTCACAGCAGCAGAGCTTGTCACACCCCATTAGCTTACCTTAGAACTTTTAATGGAAACATCACATTTCCTTACATAGCCTGTAGATTCAAGTCTTTTTTTCTTCGCGGTAACGTTTTGGTGTTAAAACATTTTTTACTGAAAAAGTCATCGCTTAGAGCATTTGGTATGTATCCTTTGATTGAACTGAATTGGCGGCTGGAAGGCGGGGCTTCGTGATCGACCTAGTTAAGGCTAGAGGATGCTCAGAGAGCTTGCGCGGGAGAGAGACGCAGACGGCGTCGCGGGCGCGAGCGACCTTAATTAGGTCACAAAACCCCGCTTTTCAGCCGCCAATCCAGTTTAATCAAAGCTTATGTAGCTTTCGCTCTCTACTGTATGCCTATATTGCATAACTCAACACTTTGCCGCCTTCTATATCAGTACGGTATGCTTGGGTTTCATCCAAAGTTCCGACACGGTTCCATCACGTGAACCGCGGCGCAGCAGTACTTGAGCAACGGCCCTAGAAGTAACCACTGTTCATGGGCGTTTTCATTCATGCTATCAATTCTATCTTAGCGATTTACATGGAATTGGCATGAAAATACCCTTATATCATTCCCTATTGGGTTGGGGCACTTGATGGGCCACACGTGGGGTTATAACCTGGGAATCAACTGGCTTGGCGGCTGGAAGGCGGATTCGTGACCTAATTGAGGCCGCTCGCCCCAGTCTGCGTCTGTCTCGCGCGCGTGCTCTCTGATGACTATCTAGCCTTAATTAGGTCACAAAGCCCCGCCTTCGAGCCACCAAGCCAGTTGAACGAAAGGGTATGCTGTCGTATGCCACGTATCTTTCTTGTCTATAAGTCATCCCCACCCCTCACACTCTGAGAAAGTGTGCAGATGATGAAAATTCAGGTGAATAGGATGAGATTTCGAAAATTCGATGAAAAAGGTTCCATCCAATCCATAAATTACGATGCTTTACTGGACTTTTAAATTTCAGAACATCACGTGAGGCTTTTATATGCGAAAATTTTAACCATTCTAATCATGATCAAATTGATGACAGTAGCTTTCACGGCAATGTAACCTTTAATTCAACTGGCTTGGCGGCTGGAAGGTGGGGCTTTGTGACCTAATTGAGGCCTCTCGCGACAGCGACGCAGTCTGCATCTCTCCTGAGCGCGTGCTCTCTCATCATTATCTCACCTTATTAGGTCACGAAGCCCCGCTTTCCAGCCGCCAGGCCTGTTGAATCAAAGGTTGCAATGGCGCAAAATCGATATATCGATTGGGCTCGACTAACTCTCAGAATATTTTACCAGGCCAAAATGGACAATAATCACAAAATGGTTGTAGAGGAAACAGTTGTAGTAACCACAACAACTAGTGAACAGGTAGCTAAATCTAATTTACAGTATGTTATCGATTTATTGATTTCTCAGACTTCTCCATCTACAACGGCAACACCCGAAGAGAAATTGCCAACTCCACCGCCGTCCCCCGTAGAAGACATTGATGAGCCTTCTTTCAAAGTAAAGAAGCTTAGTCCAGAATTGGTAAGATCTACGAAGTGAATTTTGAGTTCGAACTGATATTGATTTATTCATTTTAGACAGAAGCTGGAGAGTCGGGCAAAAACGTAAGTTTTTATTTATTTTGTACATCTATGTCAATAATTATGTACCTATTGTCAAGTCATTTGTTGCTTAATGTGCGTATTGCACACCATGCTCGCTACTTGACGCCTTGTAAGATTAGAATCTGCTCCTTTCCAGTGGTTCCTCCTTGCTCCCTTGTCTCTTTTGATTTGATTGGATATGGCCATTTATCATACCAAAAATGTTTTACTGAAGAATTACTTGTAAGATTGCCGTCGATTGCCGCGCATACTGTGCAGACTCATATATTTTGTTATAAATAACTCCTATCTATCTGCTGTTGATAACGATTATCTTTGACCGTGGACGAGTTCACTTGAATATAAGTCATCTTTTACAAAACAACTTCTTCTCGCTCCCTATCAACTGTCTTCTCACAAACTGGCCACAAGGCTACTCTATAACTTTTAGTAAATTTGTCTATTCTCTTCTTCCTACTCCTTGTTCCTCTTCTTCCCTTTCATTCCCCCCCCCCCTACCCTCCCAAGCTCAGCTCTTTGCAAACATTATCCGCCTACTTTTCTTTTCCTTATTCCTTTCCTATCTTCATTTCCTGGAGCCCTGGCAGATGAAACGCCCGAGGCTATGGGGACTTTATACCAGAAGACTTTATGTTGCATTTACTCGCTTTCCACGTCACTTCTTTATTATTTACTTTTTTGATCGAGGGGTTTGTTTTATAGTTTTTGGAAGATTCTCTTTTGAACAGCAATGATAATCGCACAACCTTATCTTAATTCTATATTTTGTGACCCATAAAACAACCAAATGCGCACTATCTACAGTTGAACCGGAGTGTTGGTTCAATGGAAGAAAACTATAAGGACACTTGGGAAGGGGGGGGGGGGGAATTTTTAACATGGAGAGGTGGGAGGGGGGGATAGGGAAAGCAAAAACTTTTTACTGTCAAAGGACATGACACATTGAAATCAACCGCTTTCCATACACTGTACCTGCAGTACCCTCCGCAAAGTATGGGGAAGTTTCCCGGATTCACAAGAACAAATAAAATTTCTCTTTTTTTCGAATTTCAATGAACTTCTGGAATATTGATTAGAAGTGAGAGCAACTCTTAAACGACAAACAACAGCAAACATCACTTGCATAGTTTTGGAATTCAAGTGGACCTAAAAAGTTACAATAATTTTTTTTGATATTTCATTTCATTTCATTTCATTTATTGCATAGGGTAACCCTATGATAACTGCAACAATACCAAAAAAAAAGAACATACGAAACCAGAACACAACAAAAATGGAATCATGAGTGATAGCTCGTGACCAACCCGTGTTAGTAACAACAAATTACCGAGACTGTAGATAGTTCCTTAAAACAGACTTAAACGTAGACAACTTTGCAGGAAACAGGCGTTTTCTAATAAGCTTGTCCATGTCATTGATTACACGACATGTAAAAAAGTGTCGGCGAACTTTGTGTTTTGATCTGGAGATAATCAATTTTCTACTCCCTCCCCTTGTATTAGAAATCCTGGTAGGAAAAAATACCCCGAAATCCAAGCCACAATGACCATACGCAATCCTATGTGCCATGAGAAGGTCAAACTTACGCCTTCTATAGGCAAGGGAAGAAAGCCCTAATTCAGTGTTCCTAGTCATACCATTCGGTATGAGATCATATCTGAAACCAATTCTTCGGATGAAAAGTTTGCGTGTAAAACTATTCTGAACTCTTTCCATATAGTCAATCGTTTTATGCAAATGAGGACAAAAAATAACAGTTCCATATTCAACCATAGGTCTGATGAACGATTTGTAAGCTTTCAATAGAGAAGCCGTGTCATTAATTGCGAAAGCCCTGAACAAGTTATATACCGATCTAGTGGCTTTATCTGCTATCAACTTGCAGTGATCATCGAAGGTGAGGTCGCTTTTGACCATGAAGCCCAGATCTCTTATAGAATCAACTTCTTGAAGATAAGTTTCCCCAAGGACATACTTAAAGTTTGGATTAGATGTCTTTGGACCGATATGGATCACTTTAGTTTTCTCTGTAGAAATAGGAAGAGACCACTCCTGCGACCAATCATAAACCTCATTGAGTGCTCTTTGCAACCGTTCATAGTCTGTCACATCCTTGACAACTGCATACAGTTTGAAATCGTCAGCGAAAGCGCTGCAGGAAATCCCCTGGCTTAAAGGAATAGAAGGAAGCTCGTGAGTATAGATATTAAATAGCAGAGGTGAAAGCACACCACCTTGTGGCACACCGCTATGCATCTTCCTCAGACTGGAGAAAGAGCCATTAACATATACCAACATTGGCAAACCTCCTCCTTTCAAAAGCCCCATTTTTAGCAAATCATTTTTTCAGCCTTTGCAATTAAACATAAGCAACCTATAAAAGCCCCAATTTGTAGGAATAACTATTCTTTAACTCTTGTAATAAAATTAAATACATAAAATGTGCAAAAGCCGCAACGATGAATCATTTTCAGATTCTTGTAACAAAATCGATTATCATACATACACCTTCAAAAGCTTCTGTTTTTGATAAATCATTTTTTGAACTCATAACAAAATTTAATCATACAACATGCAAAAGCCTCAATTTTCAATAAATCATTTTTTAGCACTTGTGACAAAATCAAATACATACACCTGTCCTTTTTCAAAGTTTTATCTTTTTAAGTAGCTCTCTCCCCGCCCCTCACTTCCAAAGAGCTCTCTCTCCGCCCCAAATTTACGAAAGGAAAATTAAAAAAAGTCTGAAACTTTTAAAAGAATTTTAGACCACCCAATGGAATGAAATTTCTCGAAAGCTATTAGCATTTTAACACAAATCATTTCCTATGAAAATGATCTCCAATTCACGTGACTCTCAACAAACCCATTTTGTTTCGACGCTCGACGACCCTCGTATCATTGTTTTGCTACTCGATTGCATGTTTTTCTCGTATCGACATCCCCGGCCCCCGCCCCCTTGAATCTTATGTTGTTTTTCGTCTACGGCGCTTGTTTTTTTGCCGCTGCGTCTTCACCCCGTCGCCCCTCAACCTCGTCAGCTAATATTGCCATCAGGCTATGTGGTAGCACATCAGATATGCTTCGCTATATCCACACCTATGAATCCATAAGTAGATTTTCATTATAAATGTTGTCGTCGTGCTTGTTTACCAGGTAGTGGCTGGTAAAAGCAATTTAGTCACTAAGAGAAAATCGATTATGTTTTGGTTACTTTCCAGTAATGGTTGGTAAGGGTAAACAAATAGACGGAGTCAATTATTTTGAATTTTTCTGTAGATCAAAACATGCATGGGAGACCTTTTGATAGCAGGCACTGATCTATTGAATTGAGACAGTGTGTTCGACGACCCCGCAGTGGCGCCACTTGTTTTTCAGACGTTTCAGTCCAATATTTTCTGTTTACAGTTTTGCTTGTAAATGTACAATTGAATAGTATACCGACTCTTGTTCTCGTAAAAAAGTTGAGCAAAGCTCTTTGTTTAATGCATTACAGTGTAACCGCTCGGATTTCATACAAAAGCAAATTTTGCGAAATGAATTTAGTAGCTTCATAGCATTTTTGTTTGCACCTCGTGGATAAATTAGATTTTAAGGGTCTGAATGGGTCTGAATGCTACTTATATTGGATTTGCCAAAAAGAATCTTATGCATATGGTCCAATCGCTTCGTTTGAAACCTCACCTCTTAAATTTAGATCCTGATCTTATATCCTTGATTCTGATTCCCCTCTCTACTCGCATCCAAGTTTTGAGATTCAAATGGATTTTAATGATAAATCACATTTTCCTTTCAGTGATAATCTTTCTCAGACCCTATGAATGTTTTTACTTTTTGAAATTGCCTGATCTAACGTTCTTGGATTTTTACAGGTTGTTTGGTTTTTGGGAGAAAATTTCAGCAAAGAATGATTTCCTCTTTGGAAGCATCCCAAAAAGAGTTTGAGAAAGCCTTGGAATTGTACTAAATCTAATAGGATTTTCGAGAAAATAGCCTCATTGATTTGATGATCGTAGATTTGGTGAAAAAGGCGCCAAAGTCAGGTTTTCCGACACCTTCTGTATTGAATCGTAGCATTCGAAATCTTTAACTCGAAATTACCAGGATCTGAATAATTAGGAGAAATCGAAACGTTTCGGTTATCATTGTGTGACTTACTCTTAAAGAATTACCGGCTATTTGAGTAGCTAGCAGTAATGTAACTATCTTATGAATCCCATTTTTCTTTCTCCTTTGTTCCCGACAGAAGTTGCCTACGTGTTTTCTCGCCAGGAATCGAACAGCAAATTTAATCTGTGAAGTTTTAAATTTCTCTGACACCTGCACTAGTCAAAAACAAGCGCACAAATTGGCAAAAATGTGTAACGGTGCGCTGATATGGCTATCGAAATCACCTGCGCAAATGTCACAATTATTTCATCTCAATGTGTGGATGATGTGAACATATGTGACAGATGTTCGAGCGAATCGTATCGCAGACAAATATGAAAGCCATTTCAACATTCTTAAGTTCCAGTTTCGCTCTGTCACTTCGCCAAGGCAACACCCTAATTGGAGTTAATTTTTATTGCATTCTTTCGAAAGTTTAGGTATATTTTAAGGCCTAAAATGGGAATTTTTTCCAGCGAAAGGCGAATTTGACCTGCTGTGCTCGTACCATTCCCCCCTAAAATGAATTTTTATTATTTTCTAGTCTCAAATTGGAGAATTTCGCAACGAACGGACAGCATTGTGTGTTTCGCCATGACGATGTTGATCTCTGAGCATAAGTGCATTCTGACTAGACATTGTTTACCACGGGCTCCCTCTCGCTCCCTCGTAAATAGAAACTCCTCCCGTCGAGTTACAAACCCCATCAAACATGGACTTTCAACTGATGAAATCCTCCCCTATCGCTTAGCTCTCATACATCTACGGCTGTATGGATTTTGTCATAGTTTCTTGGGCAAAATTATATATTTGGCCTTAGCAAACCTAGTGTGAATTTTCTTTGAAAATCT